CTGAATGCAATCTCCGCCTCCCTGGGTTCAAGTGAATTCTCCTGCAGTCCAGCCTTCCGGAGTAGCTGGGATTACAGGGACGCACCACCAGCCGTGGCTTAACTTTTTGTATTTTTTTTTTTTTTTTTTTTTTTGAGACAGAGTCTCAAGCTCTGTCACCCCAGGGCATGGAGTGCAGTGCGCGCGGATCTCGGCTCACTGGCAAGCCCGCCTCCTGGGTGACGCCATTGTCTCCTGCCTCAGCCTCCCGAGTAGCTGGGTACTACAGGCGCCCGCCACCACGCCCGGCTACTGTTTTGGTTTTGTATTTTAGTAGAGACGGGCGTTTCACCGATGTTAGCCGAAATGTCTCGATCTCCGGTGAGCCTCGTGATCCATGTTTGTTTGTTTGTTAGAGAGATGAGGACTTGCTCTGTTACCCAGGCGGAACTTGAACTCCTGGGCTCAAGTGATCCTCCTGCCTCAGTCTTCCAAGTAGCTGGGACTACAGGCACCTCATTATGCCCAGCTTAACAAAGTAACTTTATTATTATTATTATTATTTTTTCTTTTTGAGACAGTCTCGCTCTGTCGCCCAGGCTGGAGTGCAATGGTGTGATCTTGGCCCACTGCAATCTCCGCCTCCTGGGTTCAAGTGATTCTCCTGCGTCAGCCTCCAGAGTAGCTGGGATTACGGGCACGTGCCACTGTGCCCGGCTAATTGTTATTGGTAGACACGGGGTTTCACCATGTTGGCCAGACTGGTCTTGAACTCCTGATCTCAAGTGATCCACCTGCCTCAGCCTCCCAAAGTGCTGAGATTACAGGCCTGAGCCACTGTGCCTAGCCAAAATAACTTTAAAAACTTACATTTTTAAAAAAATTGACAAATAAAAATTGTGTATGTTTATGGTGTACAATTGCATATATTGTATGTATTAAAATTGTCTATGTTTATGCTGTACATGATACTTGGAAATATGTATACATTGTGGAATTGCTAAATCAGGTTGATTAACATATTCATTACCTTACATACCTTTTTTTTTGTGGTGAAAACATTGAAAATGGCCAAGTGTGGTGGCTCATGCCTGTAATCCCAGCACTTTAGGAGGCCAGGGTGGGTGGACCATCTGAGGTCAGGCCTGGCCAACGTGGTGAAAACCCGTCTCTACTAAAGATACAGACAATTAGCTGGGGTGCAGTGGCAGGTGCCTGTAATCCCAGCTACTTGGGAGGCTGAGGCAGGAGAATTGCTTGAACCCAGAAGCGAAGGTTGCAGTGAGCTGAGATCGTGCCATTGCACTCCAGCTTGGGCAACAAAAATGAAACTCATCTCAAAAAAAAAAAAAAAAAAAAGCCGGGGGGGGTCTGGAACTCCTGGCCTCAAGTGATCCTCCTGCCTCAGCCTCCCGAGTAGCTGGGAATACAGGCATGCACCACCGCACCAGGGTAATTTTTATGTTTATAGTAGAGATGGAGTTTCACCATGTTGCCCAGGCTGGTCTCAAACTCCTGAGCTCAAGCCATCCTCCTGCCTCCGCCTCCCAAAGTGCTGAGATTCCAGGCGTGAGCCAGCGTGCCCGGCCATCATGTTTACTTTAAACAGATTTTCTCTGGCATCTTCTAAGAGACTTGTATCTGATCTTTACTGAAAGTCACATTCTCAGCAAGACTTAACCTGACATCCTGAGTAAAATTGCAAATTCCACAGATGCCCTCAGTCTTTCCTGTCCTCGGCTTCTCCTCTGTTTCCCGGCATGGCTTGAAGCACAACGACATTCCACCTGTTTACTCAGGATGTGTCTTGCCATTAAGGTCCCTGCCTGCAGGCAGCTGGCCTGATTTCACCTGAGACTTTTGTCAAAACACTTACTCTCTCATTTTGTGTCCTTATTTAAAGTTTCAGTTGTCTAGTTCATTCGCTGCATTATAGCTGAATAACTGTGAGTCCAGTCTGGCAAAAGAGAGAAGGTAGATTGTTCCTCCAATATCCTCATGGGTTTTGCCACATACTGCACAGAAAGTCAGTGATCAATGTAATTTTTACAAAGGAGATCCTGAGGATATAACAGGAAGTTCCTTGAGTAAATGACAATGTCCATGTATCTGTGTCATGGAAGAAAGTTAAATTAATGCTATAAAAATGGTGTGGCTGGGCGCAGTGGCTCACGCCTGTAATCCCAGCACTTTGGGAGACCAAGGTGGGTGGATCAGGAGGTCAGGAGTGCAAGACCAGCCTGGCTAAGATGGTGAAACCCCGTCTGTACTAAAAATACAAAAATTAGTCTGGCAGGATGGCAAGCGCCTGTAATCCCAGCTACTCGGGAGGCTGAGGCAGAGAATTGCTTGAACCCAGGAGGTGAAGGTTGAGTTGCAGCGAGCTGAGATTGCACCACTGCACTCCAGCCTGGGTGACAGAGCTAGAATCCATCTCAAAAAAAAAAAAAAGTGTAATAAGTGGAAATGTTGACTCAAAGGAATAGACAGGAGGGAGATTTTTGGCCTGGCATGGTGGCTTACGTCTGTAATTCCAGCACTGGAGGCGAGGCAGGCAGATCACCTGAAGTCTGGAGTCCCAGACCAGCCTGGCCAACATAGCGAAAATTCATCTCTACTAAAATCACATAAATTAGTTGGGCATGGTGGTGCCATGCCTGTAATCCCAGCTACTCAGGAGGCTGAGACAGGATTATCGCTTAAACCCAGGGGGTAGGTTGCACTGAGCCAAGATTGTACCACTGTACTACAGCTTGGGCGACAGAGGTGAGACTATCTCAAAATAAAAGATTTTGAAAAATACTGCCACATTTTTATCTAGAACTGGTGCTGTTCAAACAAATACGATGAGATCCGTATGTATCGTTTTTTTTTTTTTTTTTTTGAGACAGTCTTGCTCTTGCCCAGAGCAAGCCTTGCTCAGGCTGGAATGCAGTGGCGCAATCTTGGCTCATTGCAACCTCTGCCTCATGGGCTCAAAGGGGTCTTTTGACTCAGCCTCCCGAATAGCTGGAATTACAGGCATGCACCACCACGCCCGGCAATTTTTGTGTTTTTTAGTTTCAACATGTTGGCCAGGCTGGTCTCAAACTCCTGACCTCTGGCAACCCACCCTCCTCAGCTTCCCAAAGTGCTGGGATTAGAGACCTGAGCCACCGCGCCTGGCCAAGTATGTAATTTCAATATTTCTAGTAGCCACATTAAAAAAGCAAAGATAGGCCGGGTGCGGTGAAACTAAAATACAAAAACAAAATTAGCCAGGTGTGGTGGCAGGCGCCTGTAGCCCCAGCTACTCCAGAGGCTGAGGCGGGAGAATGGCGTGAACCCGGGAGGCGGAGCTTGCAGTGAGCCGAGATCACGCCACTGCACTCCAGCCTGGGTGACAGAGTGAGACAGAGTCTCGAAAAAAAAAAAGCAAAAATAACTTGAAATTCTAACCCAAAATACCTAAATTCTAATACCCAAAATGTTAACTATATTCAACAGAAAGCATTAATATATAATCAATATAAAAATAAAATATTAACATGATCAATATAAAATATACAAATAAATAAAAAAGTA